GAGTAACATCAAGTAAACAACTACTTTGCTGGATAATTCGTGAATGTTAAAGGGGAGAAGTTATATGAAGTTATATGTAGTTATATATGTAAATCACTCCTAGGAGTTAAAACTTTTAAACTTCAGGGTGAAGTTGCAACGGATGCACAAACTAAACACAAGAAATGAATGCGCCAATTTGGTCTATAGTCCGTATCTTAACATGTCTTAAGCACAAAAAATCCTTTCTCCCTTTATAGCTGCCAGAAATTTTGTTGCGTAGTCTCCATTCATATACATCTACCAAATAACAACTGTATTCAATACAATGAAATTAATTATCGTTGACATGAGTATCAAACTTACAGAAGCTTTTTTCTTTTCTAAGGCTGCTTCTGTTGCTCCCTTTCTGAATCTTTGGAAGTTCTCGTTTTAACTGCTGAAATGGATTAAAAAAACCATCAGGCGCTGCTCTGGGACATTGGTAACCGAGAAGTACTACAAAACCAATGAGCATAAACAGAAAACAGTACTAAATTTTGTACCTTAGTTGAGGACTTGCTTCCAAACAGCATGCTAAAGCGTCTGATACCCTTTCCAGGTTCCTGCTTTTCCTGTAATAAAAAGAGTGGTGACATTCAGTACAAGATAATTTACAACGGCTAAGGAGTGCTGAAATCATCATCTGACCACTTAAGCTAAAATTGGGGGAAAACGAAGTTTCCTTAAAGAATCCTACGCAATATGAATACAAAGAATCATTTCTTACTTATTTCAAACCCAAAAGCATTGAAACGTACACTATATGTTGAAAATACAGTGAAAAGTCTCAAGGAGCAATGGGAGTTTAAAGTTAAGAAAAGCTGATTTCAAGAAGCGCAGAAAATTCGAGCGCCTAAGTAAGCGAGTAATAGCTCATGAGTAATAGCTCATGTAATCCCGGAAGACTTTCGACACTACATTAAAAATTGTTTTCAACTTCAGAACAAAATCTAGAACAATCGAATTATGATATCATACTAAGACGTCACGCAAGGCAGCGCTAAAAGCAAACAGAAATGAATAGTGGTCATTCAACCTACAACCTATGCTATTGACCTCCGATGAGCGTAAAGGAAGTTACATGAGTGGGCCATTTGCATGGATTATCGTGACAAGTCTAGCACTCAAGTCAGAGTTTCAGATGATTTCACATTTTAAAACAATTGACTCGAACGCATGACAAAGAAAACATTTGATCCATTCGTATGGATTCCAAACTTCACCGCTGAGCCACAGGGGACTCTTGACGAGCTACAGTGCCACTATTGTGAATGGCAGCATTACCCGCGTTTGACACGCGAGTACAGAATTCCCATGCATTACACGCGCGTAAACTTCATAAATCCCCTATTAACTCCATATGTGACACGCCAAAGTTAATACGCTGAGCACTGTATCAGTTTCTGGAAATACGATGAAATACTGTTTGTGTTACACATCTAATGCTTGTTCACTTAGAATGCCTTCCAAATACCTATGAATTTACCATAATCAGTACAGATATTTCGCAATATTACATGAACCAGGAAATAAAAGTTCTACCTTTTCCGCTTCTTCTGAATCATCCGCACTTAATTCTGGACCACTGCAATGGGAGCAACATAACATCACTTACAGGATTAACACAGTAGGTTGCAGAGAGGTAAACTACACATTTCTCGTTTTTTTAACATTAACATATACACAAAACGTGAAATTACGAAACTAAATTGGTTTTTAGTTTCGAGTTTGCCAACCTCAAGGGGGTCGAAACATTTATATGTTCCTTTTTTAATGCAAATGATTACAAATGCACATTTTAAAATGTAAATTATTGAATTAAGTTTTCCAGGGAGTTCACGACTTGTAAACGAGCGAAGGAAAGATTGCCGAATCCAATAACGACAGCGATGTGAAAGCTGGGTTAACAGAAAAGAGGACTTCGATAACTCGAATATGTATGACTGTAAATGGTTTAAAGTAAGTTATCAACTGAAACCCACCGATATGTTCAGATATCATATTTCAACCAAGCGTTGCTTCCACAGATTAGTCGTAATAGAATATTCCAGCATGCGCATTATGAAACCAAAGCAAACATTTCACTGAATAATCTATAAAACCACTCACTTTACGCCGAGAAATTCTTCCAGTGACAATCTGTTACTGGCTTTCTCTTGAGCTTCCCTACAAAAAAAAATTGTCATACAATATAAATAAACTAAACTTCTTTATCTTGTCTTACAAGAACCTTTTTGTGGAAAATCGTTTATATGTTTTTTTTTTTACCATAATTCGCTGCTAAAATTCCTTAAGAATGTATCAGCCTTAAAAGCCACCCTTCCTGTTAGCTATCTGAAAAAACATTCTTGTTGTAATTTTCATTTAATGGCCAGTCAGAAAACAAGAAACTCATCGTATGACAGTGAATGCCCTATTCAAGTATTCAGTCACACTCCAAAAATCCTTTAAGTCTCCAAAGTAAAATATCAATTGTTAGAAAAATTTTTGAGGATCTCTATATCTACTAACAATCCCATTTTGTCCAACTAATCAGGTGAAAAAAAACCAACCTGTTACGTTCAAAAAACACTACAAATTCTGGTT